AAAAAAAAAAAAATTGTTGAATATCGCTACAATCGATATGTTTTTGAAATCTACAACTTAAGAGCATTCTACTAATGCAAAAATCAATCAAATCGGAGCATTTTAAAAAAATTGTGTATACAGAGTGATCCAAATAAATTATTTCAAAATACAGAGTGATTCAAATGACAAAAAAAAAAAAATTGTTGAATATCGCTACAAGCGATATGTTTTGAAATCTACAACTTAAGAGCGTTCTATATATGCAAAAATCAATCAAATCGAAGCATTTTAAAAATATTGTGTATACAGAGTGATCCAAATGAAAATATAAAAATACAGAGTGATTCAAATGACAAAAAAAAAATAATTGTTGAATATCGCTACAATCGATATGTTTTTGAAATCTACAACTTAAGAGCATTCTACTAATGCAAAAATCAATCAAATCGGAGCATTTTAAAAAAATTGTGTATACAGAGTGATCCAAATGAAAAATATAAAAATACAGAGTGATTCAAATAAAAAAAAAAAAAAATTGTTGAATATAGCTACAATCGATATTTTTTGAAATCTACATCTTAAGAGCATTCTACTTATGCAAAAATCAATGAAATCGGAGCAATTTTAAAAAAATTGTGTATACAGAGTGATCCAAATGAAAAATATAAAAATACAGAGTGATTCAAATAAAAAAAAAAAAAAAATTGTTGAATATCGCTACAATCGATATGTTTTTGAAATCTACAACTTAAGAGCATTCTACTTATGCAAAAATCAATCAAATCGGAGCAATTTAAAAAAAATTGTGTATACAGATTGATCCAAATGAAAAATATAAAAATACAGGGTGATTCAAATGACAAAAAAAAAAAAAAATTGTTCAATATAACTACAATTGATATGTTTTTGAAATCTACATCTTAAGAGCATTCCATACGCAAAAATCAATCAAATCGGAGCATTTTAAAAAAATTGTGTATACAGAGTGATCCAAATGAAAAATATAAAAATACAGAGTGATTCAAATGACAAAAAAAAAAAAATTGTTGAATATCGCTACAATCGATATGTTTTTGAAATCTACAACTTAAGAGCATTCTACTTATGCAAAAATCAATCAAATCGGAGCATTTTATAAAATTGTGTATACAGAGTGATCCATATAAAAAATATAAAAATACAGAGTGATTCAAATAAAAAAAAAAAAAAAAATTGTTGAATATCGCTACAATCGATATGTTTTTGAAATCTACAACTTAAGAGCATTCTACTAATGCAAAAATCAATCAAATCGGAGCATTTTAAAAAAATTGTGTATACAGAGTGATCCAAATAAATTATTTCAAAATACAGAGTGATTCAAATGACAAAAAAAAAAAATTGTTGAATATAGCTACAATCGATATGTTTTTGAAATCTATAACTTAAGACCATTCTACTAATGCAAAAATCAATCAAATCAGAGCATTTTAAAAAAATTGTGTATAC